GGGGTGGGGGTGGAGAGGGGGGGGGGGTGGAGGGGTGGGGGGGGGCGGTGTGTGGAGGGGGGTGGTGTGTGTGGGGGGTGTGTGTGGGGGGGTGGTGTGTGGGGTGGGGGGGGTGGGGGTGGTGTGTGGGGGGTGGGTTGGTTTTAGTTTAGAGAAAAGAGACATCACTATCAACCTAGCGCCCGGTGTATCCTTCCTCAACGGGCCATTTTTCTCGTTAATACTAATAGTTTCGCTGTCTCTCTATGTATCTATCTATCTATCTATCTGTCTGACAAGAACGCTCTAGAGAAAACACAAGGAAATTAAAAACTCTCACAGTGAAACGAAAGACGAAGTATGACGCGGTCACATTTAGCATAGAGTAGAACATAATCTCAAACCAGAGAGTGCACACAGTAATATAATGACGTCATTGATTATCGCGTAAACATTGAATAAAAAGGAAATGTTGTCTAATCTAAATGGTTTGCGTGAAGAGTTTCTTGCATACAATTCTTCGGGTAGGGGCGAAGCCCCACCCCACGCGTAACAACGTCTGAGCCCCCCCCCTCCCCAACTCAAAAGAAATTTCTTCATCGATACTCTATAATAAAATTACCGCCTAATTAATGTGTCTAATCTAAAAAGTGGTTTTCTTGCAATTTCTTTAATGCAATTCTTCGGGTAGTGGCTAAGCGCGACACCAGTGTTTCTTTCAGACTTTTTCCTCCCCGGAGAGGGGTGGGGGTAATTGAAATTTTCGGGGGCGGGGGTAGAATTTTCGGGAAGGGGGGCGGACACTGGAAAAAGTATATAATTATATTTCGTTGAATGGGACGGTAGACATGATTTTTTTGGGAGTGGGGGGTAGGGGGTGGGGGTGGTGGGGGGGGGTGGGGTGGGGTGGTTTCCTCATCGATACTCTATAATAAAATTACCGCCTAATTAATGTGTCTAATCTAAAAAGTGGTTTTCTCGCAATTTCTTTAATGCAATTCTTCGCGTTGTGGCTAAGCGCGACACCAGTGTTTCTTTCAGACTTTTTCCTCCCCGGAGAGAAGTGGGGGTACTTGAAATTTTCGGGGGCGGGGGGTAGAATTTTCGGGGAGGGGGCGGACACTGGAAAAAGTATATAATTATATTTCGTTGAATGGGACGGTAGACATGTTTTTTTGGGGGTGGGGGTGGGGGTGGGGTGGGGGTGGGGTTGGGGGGTGGTGGGTGGGGTGGGGGTGGGGGGGTGGTGTGTGTGGGGGGGTGGGTTGGTTTTAGTTTAGAGAAAAGAGACAGCACTATCAACATAGCGCCCGGTGTATCCTTCCTCAACGGGCCATTTTTCTCGTGTCATTATAATTATCTTAATTTTGTTTTTAATCGAAGAACAGTGTTGAAAATATATTCTCGGAAAGGCAATCAATTTTACGTTTGGGTATGAATGGTGAATACTACACCAAAATTGTGTCTGCAGTTTTTCATCTTACTCGGAATCATTCTGCAAATCAAAGAATTCATCTTGTAATTCATCGGGAATGCTGGCAACATCATGGGAAGAAGAGAATGAGTAATGCGTAAATGCAGATTCTTCTTTTTCAGCTCAGAGAAATAGCGATGCAGTTCGTTTTCAAGAGATTCTAGATGCCCAGAAATCGCTTCTTTCAAAATTTCTCAAATTAACAATATTTTCTAGATTTATTTTCTTTACCAATTTTGCAGCTTTGATAAAAAATGCCCCGAGATTATCATGGAAAGTTATAATATTCGTTCATTTTCCCTGAAGCTTCAGGTTAAGCTTATCTTGATATTCGAACACATCTGCTAGGTATGATACTCTCTCCAACCACTCTATGTCGTTTTAAGTATACCAAAAAGTCTTGTTTCCTTTGCACTTCCAAAAACAATTTGATTTCAGATTTCAATTCATAAACACAATTTACAACATTTGGTTTGACAGCCAGCGTACTGTAGTGTAGAAGAGCAGAACCTCGTGATATATATATATATATTAATGTTTTTGCTCAGTTCTTTGAAGGCTCCAGATTTTATATAATTTACGACTTATACTAGCAATGGACTCTTGATGTCGATTGGTTAGGGCAGTGGTTAGGGAGCTAAATCTTTTCTGTTTTCTGAAAGCCCGATTTTGAGCTAAGCATAGATGGCGCATCATCCGTACAAACCCCCACAGCCGTTCTAACCCATTTTAATCATCCAGTTTCAAAAAAGGTATTTATTTTCTCCATGCTATCTTCACAAAAGAGCAACTCTTCTTTGCTATCATCCGCATGAATATAGACACAGACCAGCAACTGCGAACACGAACTCACGTCTGTTGATTTATCAACTTGAAAAGCAAACAATGGTGAAAGCTTAATTTCGATAAAAATGTGTTATTTAACATTTACGTACATGCAACGTTTGATGAGATTTTCTCCAATTGTTTTTTTTTTTTTTTTTGCTTGGCATTTTCTATCGCGACTTCATTTGATGCTTGCACTAATGCTGGTGAAAACTTCCTGTTCGATCAAGTCTCTGGCGTTTGCAACTAGCTTCTTATCTACGAAAGAACTCCATATATTTTTTGGTATGTTCCGAATGACTCGTCTCAAATGGTGTTTTAGTTTTGAAGATTTCATAGATTCGTGACTGAGAACAACTTTGTACAGTGCGCTTTGTTTCTTCTCTATTACATTTCCAGTTATGTTAATGAAGCCGAATTTCAAAAATTCTTCTAAATATTTGTTTTGTTTCAAATTACTAAGGTTTAGTATAACCGTTGGCGACCCCCCAGAAAGACCTTTGCGACCCCCACGGGGGTCGCGACCCCCAGGTTGGGAACCCGTGACCTAGTGTCTTTAATCCTAACCCTTGACTCATCAATGGGGAGGCTGAACCTGCTGCTGCAGGGGTCCCCAACATCTAGCAGGGGGGTCGACAAAATTTAGCTAGACCTTCCCCCCACCCCCCAACATTTAAAAAGTCCCAAAATGTGCCTTGCTTCAACCCATTTTTTTTACTTGAACCGAGGGTATTTTTTACTCCAATCCCAACCATAATTCTAAGTCCATTCCTGGCCGTTTCCTAAACTTGGCCTTAACCCTAACTCTAATCATAACCACAACCGCGGTACCAGCAAGAACCTCGACACGTTACCATATTTTCCTGCCGGATGACAATACAAGTACCGCCGCACGCGTCTACTGGAAACGGAAACGAGGAAGACAGTTCCTGTCATGCACACATCTAACCTGAACTAGGTCACCTAACCGACTTTCTCAGTGATGGTTTTAACGTGGTCATAACATCGTCTACAGTTCAGCCTTAAACTGTGGTCCATCTTTCCCATAGAACTGTTTCAAGCGTGTTTCGCTAGCAATGCTGTATCAACCATCTTGCCTCAGTTTTAACCCTACCCTTAACCCTAACTGGAACGGCGATAACATTAGTTTTAAAAAAAGTAATTTCGCCCTGGTATATGGGCTTAGGTTAAGGAAGTATTTATATTTTTTCTGTACTTTTTGATATAGTGCTATTTTTATTTTATTTGAAAAACATAGTACTTCTAAGGAAGTACAAAAATAAAATATGTTAATAGGCCTAGTTGTTCTCCAAGCTGATTTCTATTGCCCTTGACCCTTCATCACCTCACCCCCCTACTCCATTCACTTAAGAGTACTCAAGATAATTTTTGTCCACGCACTTCACACGTCCGCTATCTTGACTACTTCTGTTGTTTATTTACGTCCACAAAAAAAAAATACACAAGAAAAGGCGACTGGAAATATATAAAAACACACTAACAGGCAACTTAAAAATATAAAAACACACAAGCCACTTTAAAAAAATACACGAACAGGTACCATGAAAATATAACACCACTCTAACAGACACATTAAAAAATATAACAACACACTAACGATAACAAGCAACTTTAAAATATGACAGCACACTTTAAAAATATATCTTTAAAATCTGTAAAATATAACACATGCTGAAACGGACTATGATGACCTCTTGCGACACGTGTTCTCTGACGTAGACAATTAGCAATTAACCGAAACATCTATATTATCATAGCCACAAGCCAAAACAAAATCCTTCAAGTGGATTAATAAACTCCGGTTCGTTTATTAATTAGTGCAGGTTTTTTTTTTTAATCCACCAAAGGCGATGTGTAATTTTTTCTTCATTCTTAGACTGTGGGGCAGATCCCTGTGTGTGTGTTGTCTCACATTGTGTGTTGTATCGCAGTGTCGTGTCGCCGTGTGTGTTTCTCACAGTGTCGCCGAGTGTGTTGTCTCACTGTGTCGCCGTGTGCGTTGTGTTGCCCTGTGTGTTTTCTCACAACGCATGTTGTGTCGCCGTGCAGTGTTGTCTCACATCTGTGTCGCCGTGTGTGTTGTCTCACATCTGTGTCGCCGTGTGTGTTGTCTCACATCTGTGTCGCCGTGTGTGTTGTGTCGCCGTGTGTGCTGTCTCACACCGTGTGCTGTATCGCCGTGTTGTGTCGCCGTGTGTGTTGTCTCACTGTGTCGCCGTGTGCGTTGTGTTGCCCTGTGTGTTTTCTCACACCGCGTGTTGTGTCGCAGTGTGTGTTGTGTCGCCGTGTGTGTTGTCTCACATCTGTGTCGCCGTGTGTGTTGTGTCGCCGTGTGTGTTGTGTCGCCGTATGTGTTGTCTCACATCTGTGTCGCCGTGTGTGTTGTCTCACATGTGTCGCCGTGTGTGTTGTGTCGCCGTGTGTGTTGTGTCGCCGTGTGTGTTGTCTCACATGTGTCGCCGTGTGTGTTGTGTCGCCGTGTGTGTTGTGTCGCCGTGTGTGTTGTCTCACATCTGTGTCGCCGTGTGTGTTGTCTCACATCTGTGTCGCCGTGTGTGTTGTGTTGCCGTGTGTGTCGTCTCCCACCGCGTGCTGTGTCGCCGTGTGTGTTGTCTCACATCTGTGTCGCCGTGTGTGTTGTCTCACATCTGTGTCGCCGTGTGTGTTGTGTTGCCGTGTGTGTCGTCTCCCACCGCGTGCTGTGTCGCCGTGTGTACCTGTCCGTACCACCGTGTCACGAGCTAGCCAGTCGAGGGAGAAAAAAAAAGGGGGCGGATCCCGAGACAGGTCGTTGTGTGGTTATCAATTGTAGTACGTACATATTAAGTGAAGTCTAGGGCGGTCGTGAACCTAGGGAGATGGGGATGGGACGGCGGAGATGAAATTATGAAAACAACGAAACGGATAGTTAGTCAAAGCCTCTGGACAAGGGATAATTAAAAACTGTTTCGAATGTTGATGCGTGTGGTTATGAAACAATTATCTTGTGGATTGTTGGAGTCGGACGGTCCAGGAATATAAGCCTCGTGTGTTGTGGTTGGTTAATTACCAATTCGTCTCATTAGTTCAGCTGCTTCTGTTTTTGTCTAGCTAATTGCTCAGCTGTGTAATTTTTCTGTAGGATTGTGTTTTTTCTGATGGGATACTCCGTTCAGTGTAATGTAGGCCTATTCATGTTGTGTATAGTAGTGTTCTTTTGCATTTGGAAGAAATATACCTCGCTTATATGTGTGGATTTCGTCTTTCGTTTTGGATATATAATGTAGAATATACCTCTCTAATATGTTGCATATTAAGTGATCATTTCGTTGGGATAGCAACTTCACTTCTATTTTTATACTTGTTTTTTGTTCCCTTCGGTATAGACATACCTTGGGTATATTTGTATTTGGTCTGATCTTTGAATGGAATGTATATCGCTTAAATAAATAAAGTATTCTTATATTGTGTGTGCTTTATAATGCTAGTATTTGGGATGTGCACACTTTTTTTTAGCTTAATGACCTAATACATTTATATTTCTGGCTAGACCTACATACCTTAATTGCTAGTTTAGTGTATTGTTTTAGTTACACGAATTAATAATCGTTGTTAAAATGTCAAATATATCGATTAAAGCGTGGGTTAACTCCCCTGCTTACCTGATCATACCAAACTAGGATAAAGTGTCCCTACTCATTTAATGAGTTTATATTTCTTATACATGTTGGTTATGTGGCTCTGTCTTCTTAAGTTCTCACTGTGACGGTATATCCTTATGCCCGGGGGACACATATAATTATACTTTATTCATACTTTTTAAAAAATGTTGTTCCGAGTCTATTATAGCCTACGTAGGGATTCTTTAAAATATGCTTCAGCTTGTTTTGTTTATCTTACTTTAATATCATTGATTTAATTGTACTCTTTATAAATAAGAGATCAGGTACCTATAACAAAGGGGTTATGGTTTGACAATTGTTTTGTTATAATTATATATAGTGCAGATGATATGTTATAAATATCACACTTTTGCAGCATTAAAATAATAACTTTGTGTGTGGGAGATTAGTCAGGGTGAATCGTTGTAATGCTTTTTATGTGTGTGTGTGTGTGTGTGTGTGTTCGGACGGGAAATGGGGGGGGGGGTTGCATGGAGTGATGTTTTTGCCTATTATATCGTTTTAAATTGGAGTAGTTTCCTATAAAGTTGGATGAAAGTGTGATATGCAATTTTTTACGGAAAAGTTTATAAAACAATTTAAGTCCCATTTTTGTTGGATGTGTGGACGATAGCTTTTTTTTTTTTTTTGGGATACTTTAAAAACCTGTTAAAATTTCACTATCAACAAAGATTAGTTATCACGCGATATGTTTGCATGATTTGGTGCGAAGTTCAGGCTAAGTATCGCAAGTCATCGTGTGTTCAGAGGGGCTCAGTTTTTATGCGTACCCAGCAATATTTTAAGTGACGCATATGACGTCACTTGTAGGACGTCACTTGTAGGACGTCATAAGTAGGACGTCACATGTATGACGTCCCGTGTTCTACGTGCATGGCATACCCAAATTCATTCATGTGTGACGGTGCCTAGTTACCAGAAGAGAATATACAGGCGGTTGTTTGTCACACCATCATGCCAACTCTACTTCCCCTGCTATTTGGCCGTCATGAAATCGCCGATTAGCTGTTAAACATTTGACGCTTTTAAACCTTTGATCAGTGCATGCCATCATTGTTATGATGATTACCACTGAATAACGTATCGATTATCACATAGATCAATACGGCGGGCCCATGTGTTACAGTGATCCATAAAAATTTGACATATGGTGGGTCTGACTATCATGTATTTGCAGTCCGTGGATTACTTGCGTACATCGTTCCAGGAATATAGTTTTAAAATGTTATCATGGCCATTTAGTAATGTAATGAGGTTGTTTTTTTTTTGACTGTATCGTTATTCAGGTCAGGTTTAAATTTAGGCTTTCGGAAGGTAAGATCAGTTAGGGTTTGATAGGGGTTATGATTAGGGTTTGATAGGTGTTATGATTAGGGCTTGATAAGGGTAATGATTAGGGCTTGGTAGGGGTTAGAGTTAATACTCGAGGGGAGGGTTAGGTCTAGAGCGGGCTTAGAGTTAGGACTTGAGAGGCTAGAGTTAAGTTTTGAAGTGGGGGGGGGGGGGGTATGGTTAGAGCTTGAGAGGGATTAAAATAAGGGTTTGAAGGGGGTTAGAATTAGGGTTAGCATCAGGTTTATAATCAGTGTTAGGTTCAGGTTTAGACTTTGGATTAAGGCCATAGTTAGGTCTAAGATCAGTGCCTTCTTCATCAAAAGGGTCAGGGCTAGCGTTAGGTTCACCTTTACGATTCTGGTTTGGCGGTGTTAAAAAGAAAGTAGCCTCGAGACACGCCGTGAACATGCAGCAATAACCCTAATGCGATCGCCCTCCCCCCCCCCCCCCCCCCCCCCCCCCACACCCTGGCGTTATAAGCGAAGATGCACAAATCATCGATACAACAGTTTTAACACTGCGCCCGTCTGCAACTGTGACTCGTACCATGCGGCGTCTTTCGATTTGCTTGTGGAAACTAGAAACGATATCAATAACACAGTTTGGTTTAGAGAGTAACCGCTGGTTTTTCTGTGTAGAATTGTGTTGATAGTTGACACATGTGTGCTGTGTACGGTTTACGGATATGTGTAGTTCGGTTCGTGGATGACAGGATGATAACGGTGGATCCGGATAAAAATGTACGGACGATCAGCGTGTCAGTGGTGACCTTTCATCGATAAGTAGGTCAGTTTGTGTTCTAGTTTGGATTATCGATGTGTTTCTATAAATAGGTTTTTGTAGTTAGTTGTGTAAGACTTGGATGGAGAGTTTCTTGGAAGATCTATAAGGTTTTTAGTATAGTGGGTTTTTTGTGATGTGCGATGTTTTTTTATGGTATTCGTTTAGTGTAACACGAGAAATCGATTATCTAACCCAGTGATTAGGTTTGGGCTGTAGTGTCGTGGTCATCGAGACTGAAATATTCGATTACTTGATGTCCGGCTAATTACTGAGTGCTGGTATCCAGAAACTATGTTATCACGCAGTATACGAGTATGTTTATCACGCAGTATACGAGTATGTTTATCACGCAGTATACGAGTATGTTTATCACGCAGTATACGAGTATGTTTATCACGTAGTGTACGAGTATGTCTATCATGCAGTATAGACAGTATACGAGTATGTTTATCACCCAGTATACCAGTATGTTTATCACGCAATATAGGCAGTATGCTAGTATGTTTATCACGCAGTATACGAGTATTTTTATCACGCAGTATACGAGTATGTTTATCAAGCAGTTTATGGTGTGTACGAGTTCAGGGAAGTATTCGGTGATTGTGTGTTTATGTCAGCTTTTAGATTAAGTTTCATAAAAAAAAGTACCCCAAGTGTATATTCAACAAGCGTAAAGGTCAGGGTGGGCCATTAGTAGACAATACATCGTTACACTTACCTCAGTAGTGTAAATATTGGTGACAGGATGACAGCTAGTGGTGACATAGAGCTAGTAGTGGTGACACAGAGCTAGTAGTGGTGACACAGAGCTAGTAGTGGTGACACAGACGGCTAGTAGTGGTGACACAGACAGCTAGTGGTGGTGACACAGACAGCTAGTGGTGGTGACATAGACGGCTAGTGGTGGTGACATAGACGGCTAGTGGTGGTGACACAGACGGCTAGTGGTGGTGACATAGACGGCTTATGGTGGTGACACAGACGGCTTAAAAATGGGTAAAAATAAATGCAGCACTCGTAAATAAAATGTAAAATTATTCAAACCTCCGAGCAAAAACTCTTAACAAATTCAGCAGTAAATGAGTTCTTTCCTATTAAATCTTAAACAAAACAAGATTACTTTTACTTTGACACTTTCAACTGGCATCATTGATAACCCAAGCCTCAATAGCGCATTCTAGCATTCATCACAACCCTTAACTAAATCATTACCTAACGCTGTGTAATTAATTAGCCATTCTTTCTCTAATTAGATCGTCAAGAAAACCACACACAACACACACTGACACCATTATTGTGACATTGTGGGCGATATTCATCGCTATTCTTCACTAGTCATCAGAATCTATAATGTATTGATTATCGTGTGTTACCCTATAAGAATTGTATTACCTGCCTATTTAAAACCCAAAAGATAATTATTGATTTTTAAACATCTTTATCAATATTGATTAAAATAATAAAAATAGGCGTTAAACCTTTTTTTTTTTTTAGCTTTTGTTTATTCTTGCTTAACGATGACGGATAAAATATTCGTATAGCCTGCTAACAGCTATTTTTAACAGCATAAAGCCTAGCACGAATGCTACGTAATCCAGCTTTTTTTCCTTTCGTGACGGCCAAATTCCCTCGTGTAATAATTCATTTGGCTCAGGTTTTTTCTTCACCTCTTCCTGACTCGTGTCAACAGTACGTCACACCATTACAGCGACGAGGCTTCTGTTTGCGGGTCTTCCCAGATCTATTTATAGCTTTAGTCATCCTACTAGATTTTTAGTGGCTTCTTTTTTTTATATAAAAAAAATTAGTTGTTTTAAATCTCAAGGGATTAAATTACAGGGATGTTTTTTTAGATAGTTTCCGGAACGACGTCATCTTTATGCTGAAAATTGGGTTCCTCAGTGTCCACGACAAAGGATTTTGTCACAAAATAAAAATGCGAATGGTCCCATGGGGGTTTGTCCAGGAACGATGTCATACACCGGGAAATGGGGGTGGCGGGGTTGATTTGTGACGTCGTGTTAGTCATCTTGTAAGGGGTGGGGAGGGTGCTTAAAAGATATATATAAATATATTTGTAAATTCATTACATGTTTTGATAATTAAATTTGAAAATGAATCGGTATGTTAAAATGTTTTAAAATTAACAATAAAATGTTCATTTTGTTGGTAGAGGCGTATTATTAATTAGGGAACTAAACAAGGCATTCGTGTAGAAATAAGAGATTTTTCAGGCATCACTTGGGGTGAGGGGAT